ATGCCAGTGATGTTATGATCCATGTATTCCTTCAGGAAGGGGTAAAGCTCCCCTTCCCCTGAGAAAATGATGACCACTCTGGCAGTAGAGAACTTGATGATATCGAGAATTTCAACCACTTTTTCTCGATTGTAGACTTTTGGTATCATTTTATGGTACGCTAAACAGATATCCATATCTTTGATAGCTATCCTGAGACCCTGGAGGGCAAACCTACCATAGTCATGGTCCTCTGTGACCACGCCAACCCAGGTCCAACCAAAATGCTTCAAGAGCAGCGCGATGGCTTTTACCTGATAGTCGTCATTAGGGACGACTCTGAAAAACGTGGGGAATTCTCTTCGGTTACTCAGGCATGAGCAGGTTGAAAAATAACTGATCTGAAAAAAAGTGTCATTTTGAAACTGAGTATATGCAAATAAATTAAAGCATAACTGAGCAAGCATAGAAAGATTCTTTACTGCCAGAAAGATCTTTGCATGTTGATGCATGCATGTTGGAAAGCTCACTGTGAATGGGAAAAAATCTGCCATTTGAAAGATGCCTAATCATTCTGTTATTGTACAGCAGAATAGACAAATAAATTTCCTCAGTAATTATAATATATATATTAAAACAACTGAAACAAAATTTAGGACAGAAGTCTTACATTTTCAGAATTCCCAATTTTTTTGCCAGCTCTTGTACACAATTTCTCAATATACTGCTGAAACACATCAAATATGAAGAGCTTAAAATTAGTTTTTGCGTTTTTTACTATTACATGTATTTCAAAAAGCCAGTGGATGAAAATTCAACTCACCATTGGGGTTCTGAAGGGCTGTAGAGTTCTGGACACGACAATAGACTGTGACGACCCAGATTCTCCAACCGCAGCCAAAAGTGGCGAGGTACCAGAACACATGTCATTCTGATCTCCGTCCGGCCCGTTCAGTACCGAGAGACCTGCCCGCTGGGCTGTGAGGGGAGTTGCGCAGGAATCATGGATCCTGTAGCCCAGAGTGAGGTGGGGCAGCAGGTTCTTACCCCGGTTGATCTCCTCTACAGCAAATCTCAAAGCCTGAGCCCATCGGAAAGATCTGGGGTCAAACCTGTAAAGACACCAGCAGTTTACAAGGATTCGGAAAGTGTAGAGAATTTGGAGCAGTTATGAGGAGCAGTTTTCACAGCACGAAACATGTGTCATGACTGCACTGAAACCTACATACAGTTGCCCATGAGAAATCAGCAGCAGTATTAAACAAAACAAGATAACAATTTGCTTTAGAAGCATTAAAGTCCTCTGATTCACCCCAGACACTGTGCAGAAGCCGGTTTATGGGTGTAGTTGGTGGAGGGCAGCTCCACCCTGTAGTGCAGAGGGAAAATCCCGCCGATGATGTAGTCTCCGTCAGCCAGAAAGCCTGGCATCTCAACGTGGCCCAGCAGAGAGCAGCTGTAGGCTGTGGTTTGGGTGGTGCTGGCAAGCTCAAAGAGGGAGACGTGGT